GCCCGGCGGGTGGGAGCGGCGCGCGTGGTCGGCCCTGAGGGAACCCCCATGTCTCAACGAGAGGGAGGGGGCTGTTTGGGGACAATGCCAACCCTGTTTACGGGCCAAAGGAGGGGTGCGGGGAAAGCTGTCTTTGGAGAATTTCGATGGGGTGAGGTACGTGCGCTGGACCGTCCCAGTCGGAGGTGGGCCTGGCGGTGGTCCCAAGCACGGTCTCCCCTTTGATTGGCTGGCAGAGCAGGGGCAGGAATTCTGGGCGGGGCCATCCCTGTTAGAAAAAGCCCGGGCTAGGGCCCCGGAGCAGGGCGCGGGTGGGGGTGGGGGTAGGATGGGGAAGCCCTGGGGAAACTGGGGAAGCGGGGGAGCCGAGGGGTAACCAGGGAAGCTGGGGTGCCGGGGGAAACCAGGGGAAGATGGGGAACTGGGGTTCGGGGAAGCTTGCGTGGGCCAAGGATCACCTTGGAAACCTGGAGTCTGGCAGGAAAGGCCATGGGTTTGAGGGGCTGGCGGGGGTCTGGGAACACGATGGGCGTGTGATGGGCCCCCGCTAGGGGTGCAGAGGGAAGAAGGGGGAGCCAGGCATTCATCCCGGTCAATTCTGGTTTCAGGACGTGGCGGCTGGCGGACGCAGGGGAGTTGGAGAGGGGTTCGACCCGGGTCTGGGCCATGGTGTAGCTGGCAGCCATGGGCAGATGACAGCGGTCTGCCGGCCAGGTGAGTCCCCTTCCCCTCCCGGCCTTGCTTCCCTGGCCTTCTGCAAAAAGGAGGTTCCAGGGAACAAGGACCAGCGAGGAGAAGAGGCTGACCTCCCGGCAGATCGACAGGACGAAGGCAGAGCGGTCAGCACAGGTGACATCGTCTCAGGGGGAGCTGAGACAGAGCAGGCTGGGGGGCCGTGGGCTCGCCCCAGGTGGAAAGAGCGTTTCAGAGAGCCGAGCGGAGACAGACAGGGCTGCCAGTGAGGGAGAGGACAGGGGGCCCGCAGGGGACCATCGCCTGCGAGGACATTCCACACCCGGGTCAAACAGGACAGGATAAGATGGGGGCTCCGATCAGCAGGGTCCCCAGCCGCCACCACATCCCACTGTAATCCACTTAGGAGAAGGCACAGGAGCGGCTCCGGCTGGGCCTCCCAGGCCCGTGCCGGAGCCTCGAGGGCAGGAGAGCGAGGTGAAGGCGCAGTGCAGGGGGATGCCACCTGGAGGGAGTGGCAGCCACAGGTCTGGGCTCTAGACATTTCTGCAGCAAGGAGGCTGCGGGGCCCAGCCCGTGGACGCGCCGCTCCCACGAGGCACTGCGTCCCGGGGGCGGCGCGGGGAAGGTCCACAGTGTCCGCGCAGCGCTGTGAGCCTCCGCCGCGCCGCCCCCGGGACTGGCGTGATAGACAGTTCAGCATCCAGGGGAGTCAAGGACACGGGCGAGACCAGGCTAGGCGAGGCGGGCAGGGCGGCGTGAGTGAGAGTGGGGGGAGGGAGGTCGGGGCGCAGGAAGGGGTGAGGGAGCCTGGCAGCCGGCGAGGCGGGGCACTGGCCTCCGGAGCCCGTGGCCAAGGCGGGCCCTCGGGCCGTGACGGAGCAGGGATCGGTGCCTCGGCGTTCGGATTGGAGACCAGGTGAGTGTCCAGCCCGCCCGCCAGCCCGAACCCCACCCACGAGACTCTGCCCACTAACAAGCGCCCTCTCCGCTCTCCCCAGCCAGGTCTCTCGTGGGGGTGACATGCCTGCCAGCTGACGAAGGCCGGGCGCCGGGAGGTGCTCAGAGCGACATGACATGGTCCGGTGTGACGGCGAGAGAGGAGTGAAGCCGCCCGGCCTTCCCGGTCAGTGCAGGTACAGGGCGTGGCCCCCCCCAGACCAGCAGGCTGGCATCGCCTCACCCCTGACCTGTCTTTCCTCCCACAGAACATTCTCGGCTGGAGCCGCGGGACGCAGAGTGCCCAGCAGATCTCTGTCCCTTTGGTTTCCGGAAGGAGTTCGACACAACCGCTGCTCTCGGACCTCAAGAACCCTCAAGACGACAAGGTGAGCAGCCGGCCCCCCCAAACATGCCCACGGGCAGGGGGCCACGGGCCAGGGCGGCCACTTACTCTGTCCCCGCCCGCAGAAATGGTGCTACCCAGCTCATGCCTGGGCCTTGGACCCCGGACTTCTTCAAGTCCTTCTAGCTCTGACTCAACAATATGCTGCAATTGGAACCACTACACCACCCGACTCAGGAATCGGCTCCAGAAGGTGAGGCGGGCGCCTTCCGGAAGCTTCCCG